TATAATTTAATTTATGTACAATAACGAAGTAATTTATATTTGGTTTAATAATATAATTTTTTATAAAGATAATAATTATTATTTTGTTGGAACTCGATAATTATTCTAATTATATTTTAGATTTTTATATTTTAAAATGAGATGTTCACCCTCTATTTGATTATATTTATCCGCAGTTATTTATACGAATTCAAACATCGAGCTTTAATAAGTTATACTTATGCATAATTACTTGTAATATTGAATTTTAAGTAATATACATAAATATACAATATTTTATGTATAACAAAAATATATCGATATTCGTATGAAATTAACTATTTAAAATTCCTTATTTTTTGTGTAATATTTTAATTCAACTTTTTATTATAATTTAATTTAAGTACAATAACGAAGTAATTTATATTTGATTTAATAATGTAATTTTCTTATAAAGATAATAATTAATTATTTTGTTAGAACTCGATAATTATCGTAATTATATTTTAGATTTTTATATTTTAAAATAAGATGTTTATCCTCTATTTGGTTATATTTATCCGCAATTAGTTATACGAATTCAAAAATCGAGTTTCGAAACGTTGTACTTTTGCATAATTTACTTGTAATCTTGAATTTTAAGTAAACATTGGTTTTATGTGGTTTTGAGAAAGTGGTAATATTTTTATTTTTGAATAAAATATAAATTTAAAAATATCATAAAATTTTGAAAAAAATATCGATATCAGTATTAAATTAATCTTTTTAAAAGTTCTTGTGTTTTGGTGTAATTTTCTTAATTAAATTCTGTTAGTTATCAATGATTATCATAATTATATTTTAGATTTTWTATATTTAAAATGAGATRTTTATCCWRTATTTGATTRTGTTTATCTGCARTTAGTTASACGAATTCARRTATGGAGCTTTAATAAGTYGTACYTAYGCAYAATTWCTTGTAATCYTRAATTTTAAGTAATATACATCAATAAACAATAATTCGTGCATAAAAAATTATTTTTAAGAGTTTTTGTCAAATTTTTATAATATAGTATAAATAGTATAGATTATGTGTTTTTAAAAAAAACAATAATAATTTTATTTGTGAATAAAATATAAAATTGAAGATATCATAAAAAATTTTAAAAATATATTTCAATGTTAATGTCAAATCAACTATTTAAAAGTTTTTATTTTTTTATGTAATTTCTTTAATTTATTTGTTTATTATAATTTAATTTAAGTTTAATAATGAAATAATTTATTTTTGGTTTAATAATATAACATTTTATAAAGATAAYAATTAAGTATTCTRTTAGAACTCAATGATTATCCTAATTATATTTTAGATTTTWTATATTTAAAATGAGATGTTTATCCTGTATTTGATTGTGTTTATCTGCAATTAGTTACACGAATTCAGATATGGAGCTTTAATAAGTCGTACCTACGCACAATTTACTTGTAATCTTGAGTTTTAAATAATATGCATTAATAAACAGTACTTTACGCATAAAAAGTGGTTTTTAAGAGTTTTTGTCAAATGATTTATAATATAAAATATATATTTTTATATATAATTTAATTTAAGTTTAATAATAAAACAATTTATTTTTGGTTTAATATTATAAATTTTATAAATATAATAATTAAGTATTTTGTTAGAATTTAATGATTATACTAATTATATTTGAGATTTTTTATAATTAAAATGAGATGTTTATCATGTATTTGATTGTGTTTATCTGCAGTTAGTTACACGAATTTAGATATGGGATGAAATCGGATAGAGATGAACGGGTTTAAGAGTTTTTAAGAGTTTTAAGAGTTTTAGCCAAATGTTTTATAATATAGTATAGATTACCTAAAGAAACATTAGACAACCTCTTGACAGTTGACATACATGTAATACTTTCATTATTATTTTTTTAAACTTGTCAAACAAATCAATCAATTAAGATTCATATTTAGGTTGATAATAAGCATGAACTTGAAGTCGAATTTGAACATATTCTAGAATCAGATGCTACACTTAGAGTCAGATTTAGATAATCAAATATTCCTTAACTATTTTTTTTTAATTAACCTGGATATTCAACTCGCTATGCGAACCGACTAATCTCATGACAACCACCTGCTTTGCAGATAACTCGGTTTCACCGCATTTGAACCTCCGTAGCCACAAGGGGATATTTATTCCTCATTGGATTTGAACCTGAGACCTCTAGGTACTTTTGATCTTTTAAGCCAAGCTCAAACCAACCAGACACCAAAATATAAATTCTCCAAAAATATAAATTTTGAAGATTTTTGCTTTAATATATTCTTTAAAAATGGAGAAAGTAAACCACAAGGGTGGTGCCTGATTGGTTTGAGCTTGGTTCCAAAGATCAAAAGTACCAGGATGTCCTAGGTTCAAATCCAAGGAAGAATAAAAATTCTCTTGTGGCCACAAAAGTTCAAATGCAGTGACTCCGGGCTATCTACAAAACAGGTGGTCGCCCTGGGATTAGTCGGCTCGTATAACAGGTTGAATATCCAAGTTAATTAAAAAAATGAAGAAAGTACGGGGAAAAAAAGGGTAAAACTATTCATATATATTTTTTTTACCAGTATTTAGATAATTTGTAACATAATTCTTTGAAACATGGTGATGAAACTCGTGGTCATATAAAGTTCATTCAAAATGCATTTTACATGAATGGGACAATTTATCATTATTTATTTTATTGATTATATGCACAACTCAACAACAACACTAACAAAAATCCTCCATATAAATTAAGCCAATTTTGATATAAAGTGTTGTAGCTTTAATCAGCTAAAATTATTGCAATAACCACCCAAATGGAAGAGAGAAAGAAACAACTTTGTACACATTTGCACGCTTGAGTGACAATTTGACCTTATCACCCATCATTATTCTCAAGTAGCCTCCAACAACGTCATTTTAGTCGGCCCTATCACATTCATGTCTTTATACTATAATAATATATTATATTCGTTAATCTAACGACTCATTTCAGTTGTCGATATTTCTATCCAATCAAGAATCGCACGGTAGTCTCAAAAAACGAGCATTAACCTGGGCGTCACACAATCATTTTGGATTTCTATTATAAATTTAATTTCAAAATTAACTGGTTGCGCCTTTTAGAACCCCTAATTTATTTATTTTTTATATTGTGACGAGACGATTAAGTGGTAGCCCATACGCCCCTACCCCTTATTGGGTCAGCCCATGAACTTGTAACAATTTTAGTTTGCTTGAAAGAACCCAAAATTATATTTCATGGGATTCGAATTCAAGATGTTTTAATTACCATACGACAATCTCAATTACCATAAAAAACCTAAAATTATATTTCATTGTTTTCGGTAACGTTGTTTAATTTTAAAAAAACAAGTTACCCAAGAAAATCAGTACTTCAAAATTGTAGGCATAGCTCTAATAGTTTATGCGACTACAACACATAAACACCAGACACTTGTGTTATCCCGTCACAATCTCAATTATTTGGAAGAACCTAAGCTATATTTCATTCTTTATATGGAGTATTATCTTAATCAGTGAAATTCATCTTCTTCTTTTTTATTAACATGAATATCCAATCCGCTATGCGAGCCGACTAATTTCATGACGACCACCCGCACTGCATTTGAATCTTCGTGGTCACAAAAGGGATTTCTATATCTCCTTGGATTCGAACATGAGACCCCAAACACTTTTGACCTTTAAATCTCAAGCTCAAACCAATCAGACACCACTCTTGTGGTTAGTGAAGTTGATTTTGATGTTAATAATAACACTAGTCTTTCAACTCGAAAACATGCATCATACTCGATCGATATTGTGTTAGAAATGTGATATTTCTAACAAGAATATTGGTGTTGCTGAGAATTATCCAATAGTTCAACATCTCGTAGCCTTTTCATATGTTTATATAATTAAAGTACTTGATACAGTAGCAATTCAAAACAGATTTGTTTGAACAGTAGAACATGCTGTTTCATCTTTTACAATGAGGTTGTTCGAAGGGGAAAAAACGCTTTTTTTAATGGATTGTAATCATGAAAAGCAACCATAGGAGCATGCTTAGTTCACTTTTAGGGTTCTAAAAATCTAATCATTCCATCTTCCATTGAATTCTATTTTATATAACTTCAAATTAAATAAACATTTGATGTTATAATATAGTATTTTTTTTTTCCTTTCACAAATCTAAATGCATTTCAATGCTTAAATAAATCGAATCCTAACTTTCAAACAATCAAATCAATCCACGCATTTCAAGAAGCAGAAAAAATAATATTAAACAAAAATACCGCAAATAGAAAGTAGTTACCTCATCACCGTCCACATTGACCTTGTCGGTGCCTGCAGCAGAGCTCTTGGCCGATAATTCAAGCGTCGAAGGTTTTAGCGCTACTCCGTCGGGTACAGTAACTTTGGTGGTGAAATCAACGGTGGTTTTGGGAGGTGAATTCGACGGAACGGCAGTCTGTGGATCGCCTGGAGAGGCTTCTTGTGAAGGTGGTTTTGATGGTGTGGTTAATATAGCAGTTGTTGACACCATATCAAAACATTAAACACTTAAAAATTCGATTCGGTTTTTGGTAGTGGAAATCTGATGCAGAGAGAGATGCAGGGAGAGTCGAGGAGTGTCGTGTAGTGATGCGATGGGGAACTGGGGAGGAAATAAGAAATGGAAGATGGGATTTGGTTGTTATGGTCCACAGGAAGAGGGTGGGGGGATTTGGGACGTCTTTTAAAAGGCTTTTCTTCCTTTTTATATTATAAGTTATTTTACTGCTAAATTGGTAAACCATTTTTTTATTTCGATTCCGTTATTTTTCTCTTTATTATATATCAAACAAAATATTATATATATATATATATATATATATATATATATATACAAGGGTTTACGTGAGAACATGTTATTTTTATGAGTATTGTCAAAAAAAAAAAAAAATTTGAAACTTTACAGTAAAGCATTATGAAGTAGGGGTGACAAAAAATGACACAATCCAAAATTACATGTTTGAGTTGATATTTTCAACTCATTTAAATAAATGGATCAACTCGCATAATCCATTTAAATAAATGGTTTGGGTTGAGTTGAATTTTTCGACCTATTTTCAATCAATTTACAATATTATATAATTTTATTTTATTTTTAATATTATATATAGTATTTTAATTTTTAATTTTGTTTTATTCTTAATTAAAAATTCTATCGTCGTGGGATGAAACTCTAAATTCCAATCGCCTCCATTGTTCTTTATCATCATGAACCCTAAGGGGCTGTTTACTAGGTGCTGACCGGTCAGCAATGCTGACTCGGTCAGCAATGCTGACTCGGTCAGCAGTCAGCTTGTTTACTAATTAATTGGTCTGACCGAAATCTGACCGGTACGCTGACCGAACACTGACCGAGACAGCAACAAAATTATGCTTACCCGGGTCAGATTTTCATTTTCCTTATGTGCCCTCTTCACAATTAGGTTTCAAATCGCCCCTCCTCCTCGGCCCTCTTCACGATTAGGTTTCAAACCCTTGTCACTCCCGGCCCTCTTCGCTCTCGTGGGAACAGCGACGAGTTCCCCAACGCCGGACAGTTTCAAATCGATCCTCCTCTTCGTCGCTCCCAACCCTTGTCACTCCCGGCCCTCTTCGCTCCTGTGGGAAGGGCGACGAGTTCCCCAACGCCGGACCTGGTAAACATCGCTCCCAACCCCGTCGCTCTATGTTTTACTTGTTCTTTACTGCTTGTTATTATATGACTACTGGATTTCACTGTTTTTTGAGTCCCAATTAGAGATATTGGCAGTACATTGTTCTTTACTGTTTGTTATTATGAATTTTATTAGCAGAACATTGTAAAGGGGGAGGGGCGTAAAGATATTGTTAAATGAATTTCCTGATGTTTATCATTTCCATTGAAGAGCTATTGTTACATTATTCTTTACTGTTTGATGAAAATATATACATAAGAACACGAACAAGTTCATATATGATACCATTGATGTAATACCATTGATGAAAAATATATACATAAGCACAATCACTTCTCTTTTGCTGCTGGGATTGCTTTGCCATCTGTTATCATTGATGTAATACCATCTTGACCTGATGTGTTCATATTTTCAGTATTATTTTTTCTCTTCCATTAAACTATTAATAACAAAAATAATCATATATTATTCAATATATAATTACAATATAGGGTTATATTGGTCATTATATTTTTGGTAAGCACTTACCAAAAACATTTGGTAAACATTATTACCCGGGACAGTACTTACCGGGATAGCACTTACCCGGGTCAGCTCTCTTACCCGGACAGCACTTACCCGGTAAGATTTGGTAAACAACACCTAAGAAAACATTTTAGTCAATTACTTCATTATTGGCTCCAAAGTCTAATCCAACTTATTTTGAACAATATATTTGTTGTGATTGTGTTTTATTTAAACTTTGAACAATTTGTTTATATTTGTGGTTATGTTTTATTCACAAAAAAAATAGTCTAGTCTTTTTTTATTTAAAAATTTAAAATTAAATGGATCAATCCAAGTTCAACTCATTTATTTAATAGATTGGGTTAAGAAAATCATAAACAGGTCAACCCGCTATCAATCAATTTAGGTAACATGTTGGGTTGGTTTGAGAATATTTACTTTCACAGTGTTTTATTGCGAATGTTTATTGTTATTTAGGTGGCCTTACGGACGGGTCTCACAATATTGTCTACTCAATAAATAAATAAATAAATATATATATATATATATAGAGAGAGAGAGAGAGAGAGAGAGAGGGGTTTTGTTAATAACCTAAAAGTGATAAAAATCTAAAAACCGTCCATGGCATGGCGTGCATCACTTTGCAATAGAATATTTATTATGAATAGTACACTCATATTTACCATGAATATTGAAGTGTTATTCGTCATGAATACATTAAATGATAAATATAGACATTATATTCATCATGGATCACACGTTCGTAATAAATGTGTCATGACATTCATGATGAATAACATGCTCATATTTCTGATGAATACGTTACGTGTTGCACTATGCACGGTCTCTTGGTTCCTAATAATTAGATTTATAATAAAACTTGCTCTATATAAATAAACGAATAATCGTGTGAGAATAAGAGTTAAATATTTAAGAAGTAAATAATTGATCTTAGGCCTTCATAGGTGAATATTGGATTTGACTAGTCAAAATTTGTGACTGTGTGAAAAAATAGATTTGGTAGTTTCGTAACTTTTAAAAATTGGCGGCAAACAGGTTCATATGTGAAACTACATGATTCTCATATGAACTATATGTTCATTGTGAATTTGTGCAATTCACACATGAACTATTTTAACTTATTCACATATGAATCCGTGTAATCCACATATGAACTATTTTAACTGATTCATATATAAAGTCGTGTGATTAAAAAGTTTATTGATGATGTTCGTGCCAGAGAGGGGCGCCGACGATCTAGGTTTTTAAGAGTTCAAGAGGTCTTCGTTATTGTGTTGTACATATATATCTATATGACTATGCTATATTAATAAGCATTTAAACCAAAAATCTTAAATGCAACCTATAAAGCCCAAAGTACTGCCTTTTTATGCATAAATTTCAAAAATATATTAATTACAAGTTTACATGCATAAGGTACAATTGTTGATGCACACCACCACCAACATCCAAGTTGAGGCTTACAATTTTGCTTTATTTCTTTCTAGTTTTTTTCCTTCCTTATTAAGAGTTTTTTTTTTGGTATCTTCACACCATTTTTTATTTATTCAAACTTTTATTTTAGCTAATTTTAGCTCTCATTTGCAAAAAGGTGGATATTGGTTTCTATTTCGGTTTGTATAAGATAATTTATTTATTGTTTAAATATATTCACTAGATATTTGTTTATTCCTTCATTATAATTATTTGAACAACATAATTGATTTTCATGTTTGTATACAATAAAATTCACTTTGATTCCTTATTTGTTAATTGTACTTGATTACATATTGTTGCATTGCACGAGTACTCAACTATAAGGAATCGAGATTTAAATATTTTTAAGGGCTCCCCTGTAAGATCGAATGTTTAAATATAAATTGTGTACTTTTTAATGAACAGTTGCACTCATTTTAGTTGTAGGCTTATTTAAAAAGTTGACATCCTGCTGTATTACACGGGGTACACAACTAGTATTATATATATATATATATATATATATATATACCACTATTTTTATATATAACTAGTGTTTGACATCGCGCGTTGCGCGATGACGATAATTTTTTTKAAATTATTGAAGTTAGCTAAATGAATCGATGATCACATTTATATATTAAATTAATAAGAATCAATATTACCTTTGATATATAAATCTACCCACCTCATTTTGATTATCCATATATTTCATACGAATTTTACAAAAAAACAAATTAATCCCAAATACAATGTAAACAACCTCGAAAACACACTGTTTCGAGCCAATTAGAGTCATAACTGACTTTCGACCCTTCATGAAAGTGGTTGCAAGATACGAGCTTATTACAACTTACAGTTTGTGAGTTATACATTGGCAAAGTACGAGAGCTGCACTGTCGATAAAATCCAATTTCACAATTTCTTAACTAATTTTTATGATCCCAACTTCACGTATTCAATCAAACGGGTATTTTTCCCCCCGACTACGAGTCCCATACTACCCTCCATAAACTGAAAATCCATAACCCCAATTGCTATGGTAATACCTTTTAGTTGTCTTATGCTTGTTTGAACAACCTCGATTAATCTTGTCTTTCTTATTATGTTGTACTAAAAAATGATTGAAACTCGTGTTTTTGGTCATTTAGTAAATATATTATTATTATATTCAACTATTATGTAAATAGACTTATACATATTAATCATAATTTCATTTATATAAGTGAGTTTCTAAATATAATGATTATTTATATATTCGTTAATTATAAGAAATAAAGAAAACTGAGTGTAACTAAAGAAGATTAATAGTCTAATTAATTTAATGTTTGCTAATAATTACATCAATAAAAAAGACAAAAATTGAGAAAAATATAAAT